AGAGATAGATGTAGATGTTTTCCTAGGATATTTGAACACCAGAACCACTCCCCGTATGTGGTGATGAGGATAGAGGATAACACCTATATTCAGAAGATTTTGTTGCAAGAAACTATATATTAAGGTAAGAACTTGGAAAGGACATTGATCTTTTTTGGCTAAAACAGTATAGCAATTAGTATGTATAAGGATTTGAGAGTTTGCGCTTGAATGTGATTCAATATTGTTTGTACAATTTTTTTTAGCAGTGGTTCAATTTTTAGAGGTGTTGATCATAAAGTCATATACAGCATGCAACTCATGTTCTAAAGTGGTTTCTAAAGTCTATCTAGTACATTGTAAGTTTGACAAACAGTTCTGTAAAATGAGAACTTTTGGGTGTAAACAGTGAACTTTTGTGAATCTAACGAGTGATCCAGGTTTGTAAAAGTTATACGCAGCAAAGTGATGAACTTTATGGTATAAACTTTTCAACTTTATAGATTTTTATTGAAGGAACTGGAAAGAAAATATGCATTTCTCTTATATATTAGCTGTGTGTAAGTTCAGTTGAGAATTTAAGTAACAACAATGTATACTGTACATAATTGTACAAATCATACAAGATGTATTGGCAATTTCTCATGGGCATCTACATTGTATATATAGCAACTTTGGTCATTCAGAGGAATCAAACTTTGCTTTTGATTATCAATGCATCACCGAGAAAACACGAATGCATTTCAGGAGAGGAATTCAAATTGCCATTAATGTACCCACCTTCTCCAAAAGAGGGGGCTGTTTCTTGATGGTCTGTTTGCAAAGTACAATCGCTTTTCTCTAAGATTAAGACCAATAGACGATGAGGCTGTTAGCAGGATATGTGAGTCAGGCAAGCATGGTTTGTGCAAGGATATTAGCAACAGGCAAAGATTTATGGACCCAGCAGTGAAGGGTCTGTTAAGAATTGCCAAAAGATGGACATGTGTGTGCACAGATCCCTTACCAGATATGTAATTGTAAATTACATGTAGTTTACATGTACATGTATTTGGGCAAGGATGTTAGCAACCAGCCAAAGCTTTCTGCACCCAGCAGTGAAAGGTCTATTATGGAATGCTTAAGGATGTTTGTAAACAGATCCCTCACAAGATATATAAGTTGGCCTAAATTTGTGTCAGTAAATAGAACAAAATTATCTACAAGTATAGATGAGAACCCCTCATCACCCCCCCCCCCCCCCTCTTATGGTCTGTGTTAGGATATCAGCAAGAGGTTCTGCAAAGGATGTATGTGAACGGATCCCTTGCCAGGTGTGTGGATTATATAGCCTAGATGCATTCAGAGGATGTCAATAGGCCTGTCCTCATCAGCCCGAGTTGGCTAAAATAACCCGCTATTTCTGATCCGGGAAATTAGCCAGATCAGTAATTACTGGGCTATTTGGCAGGTGAAGACGGGGTAATCTTCCCAAGATATCTTGGGCTAGTTTTCAAAATAGCTTGCAGGCTCGCAAGCATGTGTTTCTAGCTGGTGAAGACACGATTTGTAACTTTTGGCTAGTTTCCTGGATCACAGAGGGCTATGATCCGGCCAACTCGGGCTGATGAAGACAGACCTATTATAAAATGTACCAGGTGTACACCCCCTCCCCTATTCCCAACTTAGTTTTAGGACAGGATATTCTAGGATATTAGGAACAGGGCAAGCTTATTGCATCCAGTAGAGAAGGATCAGCCATGGTGTCTTTGACCTCATAGGTCTACCAAGGAATGCAAAGAAAGGTGTACACCCCTGTATGTGAATGGGGCCTTCACCAGGTGTTTGTTCAGAGGATGTGAACATAATTGTCATAACACAATCAAACCTGTCTATAAAGGCCTTTTCAGGGAAATAGAAAAAGTGGCCTTTCTGAACTAGTTCTACATCAAAAGGACGAATTCACCAGTCATCGATAGAAAAAGGTGGCCTTGATTATTAAATAAAGAAGTAGAAGGTTTGACTGAAAGTCACTGTAACTGCACATGAGGGAAATTCCCTAAACTTATCTTTCTACATTAAGTCTAGTCATAAGATCTGCCTCCACCATATTGTCTGTTTGGAGCCAAAAGTGCATTTAGTCACATCATTTTACACAGAATTACTGCCCATCTGTCTCCAGACAGACAGAATATGATGAGTAACTCATTAAACTACTTTGTTACTACTCAAATACTTCAGAAGATAAATCAGGCACTTGAGAATGAAGCTTCAATTCAACTTCATCGTATCTTATCTGTCTAGCGCCCTCTACGGCATTCAGGAGGAAGGAAGTTAGCAAATGACACATAACCCTGTAGTTTGCCCAGGGATCCAATCTATCAGCTTGGCTTTCCTTATCCTTGGGGTTTATCAAGATGACATTTTGCTTCAACAAGAAAGGCGCTCTTTCCGAAGATTAATAGGTTGCATAGGAAGGTCTACCTTTCACTTATTTAGTTATGCTGGCCACTGGGTCTAACTGAAATGTTTAACAGTGGGAAATCTTGGGGTTTTAAAGTTGACCAAGCTTCAGAGTTGAGACCAATCTTTATAGTTTATACCCTGTGTCAGATTTAGATTTTTTTTTGGAATATGGGCCTCTAAGTTTGTAAAAATGTAATTTTGCATTATGTAAAAGATATGTCCCTTCCCTGAGATCAGTGTACGGCCTACACTCTCTCTCCCCTAGGCCACTATTTTGTTAATTGATAGACATCAAATTACCTTTTATTTAGAGCCATGAACTCCTTTGGGATGTTCACCAAAACATGTTATTTGGTTGGGGTGAGTTTTTGTTTGCTTATTTGTTTTGTTTGTATTGTTTTATTTGTATATTTTTGTTATGTTTTGAAGGTGTATACAGTATACATTAACATCTTTAGTTGAATAAAACTGATGGAAGCTAATCAAATCTAATGATTCTTATATTATTATTATTTTTGTGTTATTTTTATCATTGTTGTTGTTGTTATTATTATAAGTAGTATTTTTTAATTATTATTTTATCAGTATATTCTATACTGATAACTTCAACTTCACTCTAATATCCTGTATTAGACTAAACTACATTTAAAATGTAGGTTAGAGGCATGGGGAGGGAGGGGGGGGGGGAGTGATTTTCTGAATTTATTTAGCATAATAATGATACATGTCTGTATTCCAATAATACCATCAAGGTTTTAATTCATGCAGAAACAATTGACAGCTATCAAAAATAAAATACAAGAAAATAACTGTGAACATAGATCTGCCACAGATAAATTTCTTGTGTACCGGTAATAGCTGATTTGTGCAAATGTTATAACATCTCACAGATGACCTTGTTTGTGGGCTTGCAAATTGCAGACAATATTCTATCATATACATGTACACATGTTGATACAATGTAAATGTATGAATACAAGGAATATGTTGAAATCTTACAGGAAAGAATCATATTGATTTTGCCAAACAGTCAGACAATTTCCACAACTGTACATTGTTTTTATAGTTAATTGAAGAAGAGCTGTTTCAATTAGAGCAGTATGCACTGGTCAAGATAAACTCGGCAAGCTCCATGACCATATCTACCACTTAATTTTCCCTTAAACTTTGAGTGTGAGTTTAGAATCCTGGTACCCATGAAGCTTTCAAGATTAAAGATAGTTGGCACAATGTAGAAAGCTGGCCCCTTTTAACCAAATCATTTAGGAGACCTGTCTACTAGGTCTAATAGTTACAAGAATGTAGATTCACATGAGAGTCTGTAAACTTTAGTGTAGCTTATAAATGGTTTTAAGGTTATCTCATACTAATTACATGTAAAACTTGTGGATGTACGCATGGTTTTGGAAACTTCCAGTTTTAAACTACAAATGATCTCATGGTTTAAACCTGGAGGGTCCTAGGCTGAAGTTTTATGCAGTGCAGTTTTATATTAATTTGAAGGTTTCTGCAGCTTGTGGTGACAATTGCTGCCTGCATATGGCTTGTAGTGAAAAACTGCAAGCACTTGTTTCGGTGTCGTGTGAACCAATGTCCGAAGTGAGTGTCAAAGTGATGTCAAGAAATATACAAAGAGAGAAAGAAATGGTAGAACTGTCTTGTTCTGCCAAGCTGGAAAATATATATATGATATTTCTATAAAATTGAAGAAGAATGCTATCCCCTGTACACTTATAGAGTGTAGAACATTTCTGCAGTAAGTTTGTGTTTTGACTCAAATTATGAATATATTTAGCCTTAAAATGAAAGTAGCTAAATGTAATCATTTCCAGGTCTGCATATATATATACTTTAAAGATAATGCATGATAAGACCATATGTGTAGGCAATCAAGAATATGCAGCCATCAGATGAAAAACAATGGACTATACAGAGTCATGAGCTGTCTGCAAGTGTCATAACAGCTGGGTAATAATTAGTTGAGAGACAAGTCAACAACATCAATGATATGCATTTGGACAGCAAGAGAGACAAAGTTGCTTGGAACACTGGACCATAGAGAACCTGTCAGATCTCTGACTCACGCATTTCCTTTGCATTTAAATTTAGCTCCCCATGCCCCAGGAAGAAGAATGAATTATGGCAATGACTTTGTCCATGATGTTAAATCAAATCAGACATTGAACAAGCTAGCTGCACTTGAAATGGTCAAGCTCTTGATAGTCTGAAAAGCCCAGCTGTCATTCAACTGAGAGACTGACATCTGAAGATGCACTTGATTGTGTCAAAGGCCTCTAGATGACTCTCTCTGCATAGGACTTTACATATGTCAAGTTTGTGTTTTGACACGCTGCAATCTGCGAGCTATGACCGTGAATGGTACGTGATGTCATGCTTTGGCACAGGAACCAAGCCAAGAATCCTTTTTCGATAGATCTGTGTTTAGAATTGTGACATCAATGTGAGTCGTGCGACATCTGAATGAACCAATCGCCGAGAATCCCGCAGAAATGCAGAGGTATCATGGTGCTATTTCTGCCAGCTCTGAAAAATCAACAGAATAATATACCGAATGTAGAAGAGCTCTCAGCTGGCAATTGCTGATTGATTCCGAAGCTCAGGAAGCTAATTGTTGATTGTAAATGAACTTGTATTTAGAAATTGCCATAGTAAAACAAATTCTACTGGTAAGATCAGCAAACCCGCCGGGTAAAGTGACGCGGAGACTGCTCACTTCCTTCTCCTATTTTTAAGTGGATGTGATTCAATTGCTAGAAATTAATTGGAACCGATTGGAGTAAATGCTCTGAAGAAAATGGCGGGAAAAACGTGGTTGAACTGCTTGAAGCACCAGGAGGCTAAAGGTAGGTGATAAATGGTCATACTCTACCCTGGACAATTTGTGGATGATACTGATAGTACTTTTTAGGAATCAACAGGACATGTGTACCATGAGTTTTCTATTTGGAGGTAGAAAGGTTTTGATTCACATCATACTACACATAGTCACATAGTTAATTTCCTTCTTGCTCCAAACAGACAAAACTATTACAGTAATGCCTGATTTGCTTTCTGTATTTATCCCATTTTTATCAGTATCTTTCTTGGACTTAAAGTGACTTCTTGCATGTTTCTGAGTTGTACACAAAAAGAAGGTTCCTCATTTTCTGTCTTTTCTGAGCTACAGTGTACTTTAAACTTTGTATTGAAGTTATTAGGCAGATTTGGTTTACTTGTAGTCATGTCAATTTATAGTCGAAACTGAAAATTTATCTCCCAATATTACCCGTTACTCAAGTACCTATGAAATGAGCTCTTGGAAAATGAATTCAAGTTTTCCCCTTTTCGAAATGAATGGGAAGTCATGACGTTCTTGTGGTTTACCCTTTTCTAACACTAGGGGCATTTGCACTGCAATCAAAACAGATGGTTTTTAAAATTGTTTTTTCTGTAGTGTAACTGGGCCTCACATGTATATTTGTTTGCGACTGTATTGATAATTTGAATATCATGTCAAAACATCAATGAAATTGCTCTGTGAAAGAGGACAGTCTAGCCTAATTATACTTCACACTTTTGATGTACAATTTTCTATGTTTCAGAATATAGAGTGATGTTGAAACATAAAACAGTTGCTATCTATTTTGGGATTTATTCATGATAAGTTGATAACTGAAGGGGCTGGTGTTCAGGAAAATAAAAATCTGTATTGACATGTAGTGTATGTGAGGATTTTAAAGGGAATGAGTATGAAGAGAGAGAGGAGAAAGGGAGGGAGAGAGAGGGAGATCGAGATAGGGAGATCGAGATGGGAGATGAAGAGGTAGATCGAGAGAGACAGAGAGAGGGAGAGATAGGGGATGAAGAGGGAATAAGAATGAGTGCAATCATCATGAAATTGTAGACATTTGTTTCAAATTGATTCTTTTATAGTAATGCCATTTACTTTACCACCGGTTAAAATGGGGATACACTATGAGTATGAATGCTTGTTTTGTTTAAAGGTTCCTATGCATTCTGAGGATTGTTCATTTATAAAGTCCATGCATATGTACTTGACAGGATGTCGCACTTAAATGGATTGAAGTCTCCTTATCTACATAATAACTTTCCCCTACATGTACAGTTGTAGTTCCTCACGTTGATGTGATGTAATCACACTCATATTTATGATATATCAAGAGGTCAACAATTGACTTGTAAGTTGTCACTGTCGTGCAAGTGGATAGAAAGATTTGCCTGAAACACATGTACAGAAATAGCAGTATGTTTTTGTTGCCCTGGGACATTGGGCACTCTGCAAAGTAGCCTTAAAAATACTTCTTTGCTCATTAGATCTCTCTTATCAAAAATTTATTAAAGGAATTAAAATCAAAAGTGTGATTTTATAGTTGCTAATTGTATGAACACGTTTCTTCTTTTTGTCAGAGCTCTTTCACATTACCTGATCGCTAGCTGTAACAGCTTCCCAAACTTCTTCTTTTACGTATTCACCAATATATTCACAAACTATTTAAAGATAGTCTGTTTGGAGTCAGAAGGGCGATAGCTCTTTGTTCAAGTTTATACATGTATGTGTAAGTGAACAACCTTTTGGCTCCTAACAGATAATATGGTTTCTGTTTGTTTTTTTATTTAAAAAAGTGCATTTAAAGGTTTTCTTTAATCTGATTGTTTTTGCAAATTTGATGTGTGTGGAAGATGTGTAAGAGAAAGGAAGAAAGAGAGAGAGAGAGAAAGGAAAAAGAAAGAGAGAGAGAGAAAGGAAAGAAAAGAAGAAAGAGAGAGAGAGAAAGGAAGAAAGAGAGAGAAAGAGGAGAGAGAGAGACAGAGACAGAGACAGAGGAGAGACAGAGAGAGACAGGGAGAGACAGAGAGACAGAGAGAGACAGAGAGAGAGAGGGGGGGGGGTGGGAGGGAAGGGGGAGGGACAGAGGGGATGACTTTATCTTTGAAATGCACATTATAAACAATCCTTATGCTATTAATTGGCAAAGCTCATAGCGTGAAACAGTAGTCAGCAGCGGAAACAACTCTGTGAATCCAATTAACCTATAATTACACAGACATAAATAGGCTTTTGTCATTCATCAGTGTTTAATAATGATATTTCACATCCCCGGCAGGCCTAATCAGATGGAAAAAACATACTACATGTATATATCATATTTTAAAGGTCACATATGCTTTTGGTAATTTGAAACTATATTAGTTGTTTCATTCTTTGGAGAAGCATAATTGCTAGCCGTATTGGCACTTTTAAATGCCACTACTCTGGCACCTTTCCAGTAGCTTCCTACTCTAGTAAGCACCAGCCTCATATGCCATAACTTATACATTGTTGATCATGCATTCTTCTTACTGATTAGAAACAGTTATTTTTATTTTCTTATTAGCTCTTTCAGGAGCTCTATGTAAAACTATTGTGTTTAAAAAAAAAAAGTAATTGTCTTTTAATGACAGGGTAAGATTGATTTTCATGTTTTAAACTAGTAAAAAATGAAGGGGGGGGGGGGTCTCCCTTTGCCTAAAATAAAAAAAATGGGGTAAATATTAAGAGTTTGGAGATGATAAGGGGGCAGTTACTGAGAGCCAGAAGGGCATTAATTACATGTGCCGGTTATACAGCGTATACATGTGTTAACGCCTCACTGGCTGTTAAAGCTCATGATGATCTTAAGTTGGAATCAGATGATAGCTAAAAGCAGATGAATAAGTTTGATTTGGAACTCCTCATCTGGTTGCATGCACGGTGACACGTACGGTACATGCTCATGTTCACAACATTTCTCATGCTTAGTGCAGTTCTATCTCAAACCTTCATCTAAAAGCCACTCCCTGCTTCTTCCTTGCCCTAATCCCCACCCACGAACATGTACCTTGCCACATCTGTAGGTAAATGTACTCCCTGACATCAAATATTCATGTTTAGGAAACATGTCGACACGTATACGTACATGTACAACATCCTTTCCCCAAAAGTATCTGCGGCTGGCAGATTAGCAGCCTCAAACAGGCGAAGATTGGCTGAGAACTTATCTAGATCTAAAGATACGAGGCGGTAATCTGGCGACGTCTTAAGGTAGCATTTGGGAGGGATCGCAGCAAAGACGGGATGTGTCTAAAAATTGCTCCAGAGGGCTCTCGTAGCTCCTAGAGCACCCTAATGCGAGGATTCCGAGGAAGTTGGTGGCTCTTCTTGGATCCATAGGGTGTGGGAAGTGTGGTATTGAGGCACATGGGAACCTAGAGCAGATGGATTTGAGGGGTATAGGGGATCATGGATTCTTACTAGTAGTTTCATGGTGGGATATGGATCGAAAGGAAAAGGGGATACTGAACTCTCAACTGAAAACGACATGATCCCATTTAATGTGTACATGCTTGCGTATCATGCTATGCCATGCTACCCTGTATGTATGTGATACGCTGTATGTATGTGATACGTATTCTTTGAATGATAAAAATCATACACAAAGCTAGAGACCATAACACTCACAATAATTCAAGAATATAATGAGGTGTAGTACATGAATGTGTCATAGTCGAGTGGTTTGAGCATCAGTACTATTATTATTTGGCAACACATTCATCTACATTTGTTTACACATTTACATGGGTTTTCCAAACTAATTTATCTCCTGTTTTTATGTAGAATATAAATGTTTGTTCATGAAACCAGTGATGCAGTCATGCATCTGAGGTACATGTCCATGTAATACACCCCTACATGTATGAACAAGAATTGGAAACATGTTCTGACATACCAGTTAACATTTCCCTTCAGGCTGGATTGATGCAGACACTTATAAATTATAATTCATTTAATTTATCATGAATGAAAGAAATGAAAAGGGTCTGCATCAATCCAGAAACAAAAATAAAGACAAAAATTGAAATGAAGTGACCTATTCACCCCAGTGTTCTGCAGTATCTCACCCCATTTTATGGTCATGAATAGGAAAGGAGTATAGAAGAGGAAGAACATGAAAAGGTGTGTACGTCTCCTGATGAAGGATGTTGTTTTTCCTGGATGATTCATACACAAATTCTGTCTGGGCTGCGATTCATGATTGATTCACAATGTCAGAGAAATTGATGAAAAATTAGATTTTTTACATGATGGTGAGAGGGAGAGAGAGAGAGAGAGAGAGAGAGAGAGAGAGAGAGAAAAGGTGTGATGAGAGTAGTCTGCAGACAAAGACTTTTAGCTGGCACATAAACACTTTTTTTTAAATAATTTTTTTAATAATCTTTATTCAGATACAAAATCAAGGATAACATCATACATCAATATTAATAACAAGCATTTCATCACATGTTTAAATGAGATCAATTTATAAACATGTATTGAAAGCAGATTGTAGATGTATTTCCTGTAAATCATTAATTATAAACACCTTTATAATATCTTGAACAGAGCCTACAGTAGTTCTGCCAGTCTCTCGCTCTGTCAAATAAGGAGTGGTTAAAGTACTAAGCCTATGGGAGTGCATGCACTACACCATTAGTCTCTTTAGTCTCGAAGTTCAGACACTTTGTTACACACTACAACCCACAAGGGTGCAAATTAGGGTATGAGAGAGAGAGAGAGAGAGAGAGAGAACCATGTAGAAGAGGGATCAAGCAAAAAAGGAAGGAAGTTTTGTAAGGATGTATGTTTGTCATCATACAGACAGCTGTACATCAAGGAGTTACTCGTATCAGACTATAGACATCAAGCTCACCTACAATGTCGGCTATTTTCAGTGTACAGTAAACGTCTAAATATGGGGCACATTTTCAAGGGTAAAGCGATATGTAGGCATCAATAGCCTGTATTTCACAAATTATAATAATATATATATATTTGACCCCCCCCCCCATCCTGATGATACATGTAGAATGATTAGATGTGAAATACGTTTACATGTACATGTATAGTTGTCCAGCTTCTATAATTTGTCCTTATCTTACTTCTTCACGATGCCTGCATTTTCAATGATATAAAAGTATGTTATGATATGGTTTACTATTCCATTTCATTTTAAAGTCATAAATTTGTTTGTAAGAAAAAATTGTTCCAAAATCTTTTACTTTTAATCAATGCATGCATGCAGTTGTAGCATTGTGTGCTACATGTACTGTAGATAACTTTGGTATGATAATCATATGACTATATATCACACATATTTCTATTCTTATTTATGAAATGTGTTGGTTTTAAGGTATGCAGTTGCTGTATTACTATTATGATTTACTTTCAATATTGAATACCTTTCCCATACACACATGTGGTTCCGTTACGTTTGGTAATGATTAAATCATGCACATCTATGTACATTGTATGATATCATTTATGATATTTATTGGTGTATGACATGATCGCGACCATACAAATGTAAACACTCCAGTCGCTTCATGTGGCCCGCAGAGTGTAAACATTTGAAATCCAAATCTGAAATGAATCCATAACTGTTGTGAAATACAGCCGCAGAAATGTGGGTATGTCTCTCTTCCCGTCACAAAAAACCACACTAATGTGACTTGTGAGGCGGAGAAAATGTATTTTACTGACAGACATTTCCTGGAAGCAAAACACCTTTCAGATTATTGTCTTGCGTTATTGGCTATAGAATGAAGCCTTGTATGAAGTAGATAAAAGTACATGTACGGTACTGTACGTCAACTGCTTGCATTCAGGAGCATATATAGTTCTGCAGGTAGCATAAAGGATTCAACAAGTCCTATAATATTGATGACAATTTAATGAAACAAAATAAGTACAACATCTTTTAAATTATCAAACTTTCGAAGCAGCTGAATTTGATTGATATACAGTAAAGATGTTAGGGTAAAGCATGGGTTTGCCCATTCATTCTTAAAATTATCAAAAGAAGTCTATATATTCCTAATTGTTATTGGTAGAGAATTCCACAGTGGAGGAGCTGATGCCATGAAGGATCGGCTTCCATGTATACATGTGTGTATCCATGTCACATACATTTTGTTATGTACAGCCAGGAGATGTTGTGATGAGGATCAAAGAGTACGTAGTACTGCAGTGAATCTGATTGTTTTATGTACTTTTCATTTCATAGATGTATCCCTCAATATGCAATTATGCATCCATGAATAAATAAGTCTTCTTTTTTTTAATTTGTAGAAGGTACTGCACTGTACAGTACATGTAAAGCGTGCATAGTATAATGTTGGCCTACATGTACATATACACTAATTTGTTTTTAACTTTTATTGATGAAATTTGCCATGAGATGTGAAATATTTAGCTGATTTATTAATCAGTAAACCACCAAAATACCTGATTATATAGGACTAAAGAAAAAGACATACAGGCCTATTTGTCACTTCCAATCTCTTAATGACACTACACAAAGCAAAATGGGTCCATTGTGTTTCGTAAGCAATCAATTCAGACTCTGTTTGTTTGTTTTTGATACTGCTGTATGGAATTATATTTACCAAATTATGGTTCATGCTTGGATGAATGCTAGGGCTTTTGTTTATTTTATAGTGTTTACAGATTATGATTCATTCCATTGAGTCAGATGTTAAATATTACACAGTGCAAAAGTAAACATTTAAATTGTATTCAGTTTTATTGATGTTTATTAAATCTATCCAAATTTATTTTGATTGCCTGTCTCAGGCAAAATTGAGTTTATAATCACATGTTGTTGCCAAAATGATTGATTTTGTAGTGCAGATCAAATTTGATTGCTTATTGATTTGTACACTCATTTGTGGATAACCTGCCTACATATGCATGTAAGTAAACATTTATTTGATTAATGAGCTAATTAACTGAGTGATCTTGTAATGAGACATGATTATTTATAAATACATTGTCCATGTACATGTACATGTACTTCAGCCGGATAGCACAGGAATTGTGGATAGTGTTGCATTTAATTGTCTACCGGTATGTGAGTCTTTTTGTGAGAAATACCCCTACATGTAGAACTTGAAATTTGGAGATAAAAAAGTAAAGAAATACTATTACAAACTGTAGTTTTACACAATTTCTACTTGTTTCATATTTGTTGTTATCATTTTCTCTTATTGTATTATAAAATAGAAAATTTACATGTACATGTATTAGAAATTCATTTCTCATTATATAAAATGCTATTTATATGGTGTGTTGAAAATATTATGATTCTCCATATGTAAAGAGAAATGTATCATCTAATGTGCTAAATAAACATAAAATATTGTTTTGGTTATCGTACATGTAAATGTACATGTAGTTCTACTATTACGACAAAAATCTGTATAAACCTGGAGAATTCATTGACCCATAAGGTAATATATTGCAGCGCTTCAAATATAGCTTCTTCTTTGTCTTTCTGCCTGGATGAATCTAGCTTTATTGGCATCTGTCTTACCCTGCAAATCCTGAAAATGATGTAGTCATGAAATTAAAAAAGGATCTCTGTCTCTATGACTTCTTCTCAGAATACAGGTGATACATGTAGCAATAGCATGTATTGTCTGTTGAGAGCAGCTACATTGTATAGGGCCAAATGTAAAACAAAATGAATTCTGGGCCCCATTTCACAAAACTTGTCATCAGTGACAAATGACAGTTTTTGTTATAAGCTAGTGAAATTCTTGCTTCTGATTGGTTATCAGCAGATTTGTCACTGATTTTTGTCATTTGTCATTGAAAAATGTAATTGAAAAAAGGTCATGCAAATTGCATTGTGAAAGAAACTGTCTGGAACAATTGGGAAAAAGGGGGATTATGTAGTTTGTAAGAATTGAGTTTTTGGAATGATAAAAAAGAAAAGATACATGTATATTGACTCAGTTGTAGTGCTGCAGATCATATACACTGCACACTGAAGTGGATAAGTGGGACTATATGCACAAATGTTTGGCCCAAACTGTTCAGCGATTTCCTCATCATATTTCTAATATTAGGGCAATTGAAGACTTTGAAGTGCAATCCTATTCATAAGACATTTTCAGTCTGCAAGCACTCTACTTTACTTCGTAAGGCCTTGAGCAGAGCCTACATGTAGATCTAGATACAAATTATGTATGTCAGCTAGTCTCTGACTGTGTCAAAAGTACAGAGTCTATATTGTAGTCTGACAGTGCACAACAACTGACATGGGTTTGTGCATGCAAACTAGTACATTTCCACTATTATATTCTCCAAAACTGATGTACAAGGATTGGAAATTGATATACACATACATGTTTTACCAGAACTCAACCTTCTCTTTGTGTATGAAAGCTATATTGGTTAATGCCTTTCTGGCTCTTGGCCTCTAGTAGCCGCTCTACACATCATATGATTGACAGTTCATTGTTTCAATCTGTTAAGTCGTTTAATATTTTTCAAATCCTTTGTACCGCTAGGGTAATCACTTGCATGCTCTAGTGTAGAGGCAGATCTTATAAACATGTGGGAAATATAACATCGTCAATGAAGTGGTCATGATGAATGAAATTCGCAGATGACAGATGGATGGACTGGAAAGGATCAAAATCGTGCAGGAAACGACTTCTTCCATTAAAAGAGGTTGTAGTTACAAAATGGAATATACTGATTGGGTTTGCTGGATCTCCTAAATATGGTTTTCTTTAGATAAGATGAGATTTGCTCTTTTGCATTTTTCTGTTCATCAAAGCTGTGTAGGCTTTTCAACAGCTCTTTTTTGTTCAAAGCAAAATTTACTTGTTTTACTTTTGTATAATTTTACACTGGGTTACAGAAGACATTTTGTTACATGTATGTGCCAAGACAATTGATTTCGCAAATTGTCTGCTTTAATTTGATATAATTATCTCATTTTTGTACTCATTTGTGTAATTTAAATACTCCATAGAAATGTCAGCCTACAATGTACATGTACATGTGTACATGTCCACATGGTTTAATTAGATATGACCTTCATATAATTTTTTCTCTGCATGAATTTTTCAGTTGGTATCAGATTACTGTATGAAACCAATCATCCCTCCATTCTCATTCATCCTACCATAGTAGGTCCATGGTCCTACAGAGTCAAAGCAATTTGCTGGATGGCCAGTAATACATTCATTATTCATTTTGCAGGGGGTATTGTAGCAATTATTATAATCAGACATAATAAAATTATCTTGCAACGTCATTTAGTGTGTGAATTGGTTCAGAATATATTTCTCAACCTCACATATTTTGTTTGATGTAGAAAGCTTTGTTCTCATAGACACATACGTACATGTACGTGTTTCCAGGAAAATGCCTTTAATGAGTAAAGTTGGTCAGCTCCGGTTGAATACAGACCATGGTGAGCTCGATCGCTTCAACAGAAGCATGTTTTCTGCATTTTGTCAGTAGAACACAAAGGAGTTGATTCAATTTTAATCCCATTTTTAAATATCTTTTAGACCACCATTCAATTTCACTTTTACTTTGATTGTTGTTCATTGAGGATCTTCTTCTACAACAGCTGAGAAGAACTAATACTAATGCTTCAATCCCGTAATAGGCAGCAAAAGATTTTCTTTTTTTTTAGATGGCAATAGTTATTATGTATTGAATCTTATTCCTTGCTTTGTCAAATATGTTATACTGATAAACATGTGGTCATTGCATATGTATCAGTGTATGTACCCCTAGTCTTTTAGAAGATTGGCCGATCTGTTGAGCGATCATGGATACCGGTAGTCATATTTCTTTAGTTACATCTTTTCTCATCCTTTTTTTTGTTTAATAATCCAGGTCACACAAAGAAAAAGAGTGCAATCACAACAACGTAATAACTGGGTAGTCATTTGTTTATGACATCTATTCTCATCCTTTTTTTATTGTTAATCCAGGTCACACAAAGAAAAAGAGTGACCTAAAAGGACGCGATCACGACACCGCAATAACAGCCGACCCTCAGAGCGGCCAGAGAAGCGAACCAGAGGGCTGCATCGATCCCCACCAAGACGATATATCCATCACAGAGGACCTCATCGATCCCGAGTACCTCCTTGATCCTCCCGAGAACTGGCGCTTGGACATCAATGCCACGAGCGCCAAGGAGTTAAAATCAAACGGACATTGCGGAGGAGCTGCAAGGAAGCGAGACAGAAGACTTGTTAAGAAAGAGGAAAGAGATTTTGCAGAAGGTCAGTTTGATATTTTACACTATCCTACAGTCAAACCTGCTTTAGTGACCACCTGTCTATAAAGGCCACATTTGTTGTTTCCCTTGACAATGGTTTCTCATTGAATCATGTACTAAAGGAACCTGTTTACAAAGGTCACTTTTTGTGTTTCCCTTTGGTGGTCGCTATAGACAGGTTTGACTGTACTTAGTGGAATAGTGCATTACATGTATAGTCAAATTTCATCTTCGAGAGCCAGAAGAGCATTACATGTTTGTGATACTATTTGCATATATTTATTGGCACTCTACTTTGTGGCAGGCAACATGGTATGAAGACTACTCAAGGGTGAAACACATTGTATTTTATAGACTTTATAGTCTTTATATGCAGGTTCCTATCAGTAAAATATAAAGGTGGGCCTTCTAAGATAGATGGTCTTTATGTACAGGTTCCCTTTGGTGAAAACGCAATATGGGTCTTGATAGGAAGGTGATCATTACAGGTTTCCTTTAATACTTGAATCTGTTTTAACGAGAACTATTTCTCATGGGATTAGAGATGTTAGAATGATACATGTATGTCATGTGGCCTTTGTATACAGGTGGTCATTTTTAAAAAGACGACTGACTGTATTAAACCTGTTCATACATGTAGTTGTTTTTTTAGGAAGGTGGAGATGACACAGTCGGTGTTGTGTCCACTTGGTTTAATAATCTCCTACATTTGTGGTCTGTGTCAATCACTCATCCTTGTTCATTATCTTGAGGTGTTAGTAAACATGACATACCATCCGCTGAAAGCCAGAAGGGCACAAGGCAACGCCCTTCTGGCTCTCAGGCAGTCTTACTAGATGATTATGTAGTGCATTGGAAATGTGTCACCCTAATCCTGCTACCAACACATACATAGAGTTCAAGATTGTAGATGTGAGGTTGTAGGAAAAGGGGAGGAAGCAGATAAGTCACTCTTCCTTGTTCATTATCTTGAGGTGTTAGTAAACATGACATACCATCCGTTGAGAGCCAGAAGGGAACAAGTCAAGTAGTTAACACCCTTCTGGCTCTAAGGCAGTCTAAGCAGATGATATGTAGTGTATTGGAAATGTGTCACCCTAATCCTGCTACCAACACATGCATAGAGCTCAAGATTGTAGATGTGAGGTTGTAGGTAAAGGGGGAGGAAGCAGATAGGGGTAATACCAGAAGTCTCTTCTTGACGCCTCTCGTTCTCATCCTTCAGTCTCAATCATCCCAGCTAAACCCTGGCGAGCGAACCAGCGCTGCCTTGCCTTGCCTTGCCTTGCCTAGCCTAGCCTAACTCTCCCTCCGCCTGTCTGGCGTGATTCACCAGCGAAGAGCGATCCTGACCTCTGAAGTCTTAGCCGCGCCGGAAGGAGTTTGGAGTTTGATATGGGAAAAATTGTCAAGTCCATGTTTCCCTTGGGAGAGGATCGTCTATAGCCTCTTTTCCCTCTACCCCTCTCTCTTTCTCTCTCCCTCTTCCTCGCCCTTTCTGCATCACAAAGTTGAATGTGTGTGATTTGCTGCTTGATACATTGAGCTGTCGCTATTAAAGCCGTAGTCCCTAACTGTGAGAACCAAGCAAGTGTCAGCTAAAGGCAAGATCACATCGATGCTTACAGAGGGGAGGTGGATCAGATATCAGGCAGTGTTTGGAGTGCTCCTGGGGGGTTAAATCGCGCCCTTCTTGTATTGTCTGATGCTCTAAGCTATTGGCATCATATTCCAGTGTCTACCTGCCGAGCCTGTGAGTGAGGTTTTCATAGTGGAGTTGAACTTGAGCAAGTAACATGTTTATACACTTACTGGACCTGCCCAGTTTGAGAAACACATTTTCATAGTGGAGCAAGTATTAAAACCATCTAAAAAAAGTTGTGGCTTTAATATTAAGCTCTTGTGGTAGGTCTGTGTTTAGCTGCTTTAAACTATATATGGAACTGTGGAAGTTATGACTTAGGTCCGTCTCATAATTGGCTGATTCTTGGAGCTCGTTCTAATGCAGATGTGAAAAGACCAGTGGAGCTGAAACCAGATGAGTAACAACCAGCTGGTAAAGTTGAGACTTGCACCCTGCTTCTATTACCCGATGCTTCAAGCAATAGCATCATGTTCCAAGGCCTATATACCCGCTGAGATAGTGTGACAGACATTCATAGCGAAGTTGAACTTGGACGAGAACAACCAACTGTTAAGTTGTGGCTTGGTGTTGTGATTGGATTAAAGCGGAATAACCTGCTGGGGCAAAGACCTTCTGGTCATATAAAGCAAAAGTACACCATGGATGTATTTGTTATTGATGAAGGTGAGAATTTGTAGGACTTGTGAGAATCATGTTACAAATGCTGTGCATACATGTATATACCTGTATCCATGTATGTAGTCTACTGTACAATGATCGTATGTGCTGTCGACTTTAATAGGAATTGGCTGTATACATTGGATTGAGCTTGATGAGTACATTATCGTTCTAGTGATGTGTGTCTTACATGTTGGAGTAGATTTACTCAGCCTTTACTTGTGCAAAGTTTCATGCTTTGCTAGTTGATTTGTGTTGGTTCTATTCATTCTTTGTCAAAACTTTGTCTCAAAACTGGAGTTGATTCTGGCAAAGGAGTTTTGTGTAGGTTATGTAGATGTACACATAGGCTGACAACAAGTGGTATTTTTGGAGCCGAAAGGGCATTAACTCTAGTTATTTAACACAGAGTTAATGCCCTTCTGGCTCTGAACAGACAAAGTGTACTCTGTAAATGACACATACTTCTGTAAAGTACTCAAATGCCAAACTGCACATAGTACAGCGTACCTCTGTTTTGTTTACCGCTTGTAATAACGTCATGAACTGTTAATTGGAGTAATTTAGAACCTTCCTGCAGAAAGTCAGTGAACCCTTGATAAGACTAGCGTTATTAAATCAACAAATTAAGCGGGATGATGAGTAGTATTTAGAGAAAAAACATTTACTTGGCCCAAATTCTTCTTTGTTAAAGAGGGATTTTAAAAAAATCCTGCATAATAGTTAAATATTTGGTCAAATATAATCTAGCCTTTTTCTTTCCTTGAGGTTCTTTCCTAGGGTTCTTTTACAGAAAATCATGAAAGACATGTGAATATGGAAATTGGAGTAAGACAGTATATGGCTCTCTTAAATTCAAATCAGATCATATTTTGGCTCTTGTGTCACGATGCACCTCTGGCATTAGCCGATTACTGCCACAATTTAATCGTCATGGCAACAATCAACATGCGTACAGGTATATAGGCCAAGATTGTAATGACTCTGGCAGGGATAGAGTTACAATATAATTATCCCAGCAAGAATGAAAATAGCGTACCTTGGTTCTCTCAATCAATGGAGTTATGAAGATGATGCGCTTCCTAAAATATACCTGGGTGGCATTTAAAGTTGTTATTTTGGTGTCGGGCCTTTCAACAAGTTATTGTTAACTGTAGGAGTGTCTGATATCATAATTAGTTGAGTTTTTAAATAGATTTTTCATTGTTCTTGGGACCAAGACATTGCCATTGGCTATAGATACTTGTACCCTGGATTTAGCTCTTTAAATGTCAACATTCATATTTCATTGTATGTTTCACTTCTTCTCTTTATGTTCATTCATTCATGAATTTTATTTGGGTTATGTTGTTTGTTGGGGATTCAGTCTTTTATTCTCCCATTCCTGAATTCATCATAACCTACTGGGTGTAGTATGTTTAGTTTGCCACCTGTTATTCTTATTTTCCTGCCTCTCTTTGTGATGTTAAGTTTCCTTTAAGTGTAATAGTGTATCCCTTTCCTCTTCGTACCAGACCCTTTTTAAAAACCATTTGGTAGCTTTACTCACTGAAAAGGCTGTTGATATATATTCTTTTGTCAAAAGAACCTGTTATGGGCGATAGAGGAATTGAGGAAGAAGTATAATAGAAAAAAAAGGAAGCTATGACAATGGAGTGGAGATTTATTAAACACTTACACAAGACAATTTTTATGCCTCCGCCACCGAAGGTGGTGCCGGAGGCATCATGTTTTCGGGTTGTCCGTCCGTACGTCCGTCCGTCCGTACGTCCGTCCGTCCGTCCGTCCCGTTTGACCGTTATCACAATATCTCAAGAACCATTTAAGATTTAAACTTAAGACTCGGGAATAGTATTTATCACCATAGGAAGACGATCTGATTAGATTTTGGAGTACGTAGGTCAAAGGTCACAGGTCACAGAGGTCAACTTATGAAATTCCTTGTATTGAGTTTGTTAGCGCGATATCTCAAGAACCATTTGAGATTTAAACTTCAAACTTAAGGATAGTATGTATCACCATAGGAAGACGATCTGATTAGATTTTGGAGCACGTTTGTCAAAGGTCAAGGGTCACAGAGGTCAACTTATGAAATTCCATACATTGAGATTGTTATCATGATATCTCAAGAACCACTGGAGATTTAAACTTCAAACTTAGTGATAGTGTGTATCACTATAGGAAAACAATCTGATTACATTTTGGAGCACGTAGGTCAAAGGTCAAGGGTCATAGAGGTCAACTTATGAAATTCCATACATTGAGATTGTTATCATGATATCTCAAGAACCACTGGAGATGTAAAAACTTCAAACTTAAGGATAGTATGTATCACCAAAGGAAGATGATCTGATTAGATTTTGGAGTACGTAGGTCAAAGGTCAAGGGTCACAGAGGTCAACTTATGAAATTCCATACATTGAGATTGTTATCATAATATCTCAAGAACCACTGGAGATTTAAACTTCAAACTTAATGATAGTGTGTATCACCATAGGAAGACAATCTGATTAGATTTTGGAGCACGTAGGTCAAAGGTCAAGGGTCACAGAGGTCAACTTATGAAATTCCATACATTGAGATCGTTATCGCGATATCTCAAGAACCACTGGAGAATTTTCACTTCAAACTTAATGATAGTATGTATCACCATATCATAATATCTCAAGAACCACTGGAGATTTAAACTTCAAACTTAATGATAGTGTGTATCACCATAGGAAGACAATCTGATTAGATTTTGGAGCACGTAGGTCAAAGGTCAAGGGTCACAGAGGTCAACTTATGAAATTCCATACATTGAGATTGTTATCATGATATCTCAAGAACCACTGGAGATTTAAACTCCAAACTTGTTTAAATTGCTCTATGGCGGAGGCATCATTTTCGACTGCGCGCAGTCAAAATTCCATCTAGTTTTTTATGCCTCCGTTACGAAGTAGCCGGAGGCATTATGTTTTCTGGTTGTCCGTCCGTCCGTCCGTCCGTCCCGTTCTCGTGATCGCGTTATCTGAAGAACCGATTGATGGATTCCTACCAAACTTTGGTCATGTATGTATCTTGCAGAGCCGATGAACTGATTAGATTTTGGGGTCACGAGGTCAAAGGTCAAAGGTCACAGGGCTCATTATGTATGCAAAAACAGCTCGTGATCGCGTTATCCAAAGAACCGATTGATGGATTCCTGCCAAACTTTGGTCATGTATGTATCTTGTAGAGCCGATGAACTGATTAGATTTTGGGGTCACGAGGTCAAAGTTCAAAGGTCACAGGGCTCATTATGTATGCAAAAACAGCTCGTGATCGCGTTATCCGAAGAACCGATTGATGGATTCCTTCCAAACTTTGGTCATGTATGTATCTTGCAGAGCCGATGAACTGAATAGATTTTGGGGTCACGAGGTCAACGGTCAAAGGTCACAGGGCTCATTATGTATGCAAAAACTGCTCGTGATCGCGTTATCTCAAGAACCGATTGAAGGATTCCTGCCAAACTTAGGTCATGTATGTTACTTGCGAAGCCGATGAACTGATTAGATTTTGGGGTCATGAGGTCAAGGTCAAAGGTCATGCGGCTCATTATGTATGCAAAAATAGCTTGTGATCGCATTATCATTAGAACAGATTGATGGATTCCTGCCAAATTTAGATCATGTATGCATCTTGCAGAGCCAATGAACTGAGTAGATTCTTTGGTCATGAGGTCAAAGGTCAAAGGTCATGGGCTCATTATGTATGCAAAAATAGCTTGTGAATGCATTCTCATTAGAACTGACAGATGGATTACTATTTAACTCGGGACATCTTACAGAGCCAATGAACTGAGTAGATGTTAGGGTCATGAGGTCAAAGATCAAAGGGTCATATATGTATATGAGAAATTGCTTGTAATCACAATATTCTGAGAACCTGTTAATGGATTACAATTGAACTTGAATTTGAAAAATTTCTTCTGTTTTGGTTTGTAAATTGCTCTATGACGGAGGCATCATTTCGACTGCGTGCAGTCGAAGTTCCATCTAGTTACTTTTTATTGTCAGTGTTGTGTACACTTCAGAATTGAGATGAAATAGAAGGAGGAAAGAAAAAGAGGGAATGATCGAGATTAAGTAAGGCTACCACATTTTGTTACTGAAAGCCTTGATATATGAATAGTCGGTTAGTCACCATGGAAACCTACAGAGAACATCTAATTTTGATACACTTATTCCATTGAGAAGACTGAACAGGTTGAGCATGGATTCAAAGCTACAGGCGCTCATAAATCCTGTTCTTTATTCGACTCTCTTATCAAATATCAATCTCTACACAAATTCCCAATAAGAAATCTAATTTCATTCTCTTTTGGAAATGGTTTAGAAATTGATGTTTGATAGTATAGAAAATTGGATTTTGCATTGTATTTATGATCAAAAGCATTCGCACTTGAACTAAACTGTTTTGAGAATGCAATCTCTGACTCAATCATGTTTGCAATTGTAAATTTTATAGACCTCATTGTGTTCCAGCAGAGACAGAGCATTTCTCTAGTTTCAGAGTGTATTTGCACTTAAATTCCCTCGAGAGTTGTTGCAAGAAAAGCTGTCCATTATATTCTTCAATACATTCCTTCATATGTTTATGCATATTGTTATTATTTTTGACTTTGCACATTACTCGATCATGTGCAATTGCTGTACATGCAAGTAGTCCAATAACTGTTTGCTGTACTAAAGACCAATGAAATTTTCTCTTATAAATAGGTGGAGCTAGTACATGTGTACAATATAATTATGTACATGTAGGTTGAACTGTTTTGATAAATTATCTCCAAAAAAAATATATGCATATAATTGCAATCCCTAATGACTGATTGACAGTATCAAGGAGTTACTGGTCAAATTTCAAGATCAGTCTTTGAACCTAATCTAACCTAAGAATTTGTAATATACTGGAAAGCAAGATTTCTGCTATAAACCAACCACCTGAATGTGACTCTTCCCTTGTCTCCCAATGATGTCTGCAACTTGTCGTTTTAAGCTATTCAACTTTGTACATGTGCAAATGTATTTAATCGTAAATGTACTGTACATGTACACGTACCCCTACTCTCTCTCTCTCTCTCTCTCTCTCTCTCTCTCTCTCTCTCTCTCTCTCTCTCTCTCTTTCTCTCTCTCTTTTTATATCTTTTTCTCTTTTTCTCTTATCCTTCTCCCTCTAAACCTCTTTCTCTAGCACACTTTACTGCTCTCTTTCTCTCACCCCTTCCTTTATGTCCTCTTTCTTTTAATCAGTACTGTATGCTGTATGTTAATCATGCACTTTTTGTTGCCAATTCAAAGTCATGAAATGACGTCAAACTCAAGGATCTATTTGGAGATTGCCATTTCAATTTGCATGGTTGTGATTGTTATCTTAACTTGGATGCCTACATTCTACCCGGGATAGCTATGTTGACATACAAACCCTCATGTAGAAAATGCACTGTGAAGAATATGAACCCTGCATATTCATTCTCTTCAATAACTTCTGTTTTGTTAAAGAGAAGGTCGAGTTCTGGGAAGAGGTGAAAAACAATTTGTGGGCGTTATCATTGTTATGATGTAAGTGTGGAAGAACATCAGAGACAAAATGTTCCCTGAAAAGCATGGCTCTTCAAATGCATTCATATTCTAAATATGGCATGTAACATCATAAAAATCGGGACAGATTTTTATGCCACATGTTTGTTTAGTCCCATATACACCTTTCTGTGTACAGTGCTTGTAAATTTACCAAGACTGGGCCAAATTTCTTATCATTTTGATGATTCTAGAACCTTGCAGTACACACCAATAATACTTGTATGCCAGATGATCAACCTTTTTTGATCGTTTCCACAAAGTTTCTTTAATGCAATCGCATGACCAGAACTCAACTTTATTAACAGCCAATATTTTGATAAAACCTTTTTTGTCTACCAGAACTGTGTTTCCTTCCTCATGCGTATGATGATGAAAATATACATGTAATCCTCATTTATTTATATTTTAGTTCTCTTTTGTATTCCCATGGTAGATCTCCCCAATTCTGCATAGCAGGGTAAACAAATGTAAAATTACATGTATTTATGCTAATCTCATACTTTTTTTTGGCATACGTTATTTTGTACTATGTCATAATTATGTCATCATCTTACATGTTTGAAAAATTATTTAATTAATTCTTTATTTCTTTGACAGTTATCCTACCACCTAACAAGATGTCTGTGGCTGTTCAAGTGGTGAACGGGAGAGAGCAAGGCACGGAGGAGGAGGAGGAGCTACAGGAAGCAGGGGGCGGAGCTCAGGAAGCTGGAGGGGGAGGAGCTCAGGAAATAGAGGGCGGAGCACAGGCCATGGACATAACGGAGGAGGATATGGTGGTGGTGCCTCGCAGCCCCAGAGAAGAAGGGATGAGCGACAGTGAATTATACCAGTCAGGTAGGATGGACATTTGCCACTCTCCACCCAGGTGTTGAATGGGTACCCGGTAGGATGCGGCAGATAATGTGGTTGGATTGGCATGTGTACTTGCAAAATAGCTGGAATACTCCCCAGGGAGTGGAGCGTGTACACAATCATGTATGGATTAGTAATTGAATCCAATGACCAGGGTGATAATAATTACATTGTAAATCATTTAGAAGTGTAGTAATTAAGTGCTGTACAGATTTGACTTTAACATTATCTATTATAATTCCACTGGGTTGAAACGAATTAGATAGTTTGCACAACTGCAGTGGATATGACGTTTGCATTCTAGCACAAGCTTAATGGGAGGGTGGGGAATGACTATTGGATTAACTTGGATTAGTGACGATAGTATTAATGAGTGAGAGAGGTAGATATTAGTGTAAGAGTCATATCACATTACTCATCAGAAGAGACTTATCAAGGAAGACTGCCTGGCAATTTGAATTAAAATTTTCCATGGAGCTAGCTTGCTTGATGCAGTATAGTGACCTGGTAGGGTACCTCTATTTGGGGGTGGGAGTATTGGGCCAGTAACACATTTGGGCAACCATACCATTTTTAGTGTTTTTTAATCAGCTTGTATTTCAAATACAGAGTACTTTTGAAATACATGTTGAGAAATCATTTCAGAAGATCATGAGAAACAAGAAACCATTGTGTGAAACATCCTTTCAGTCACTTTTCTAAATTAATGTAATGACATCTGTCTGTTTCGTTATTTTGTGTTGTTGCATTATTTAAAAGGAACATGGATCTTTCTGTCGTGATCGTTTATCTTTAACTCCCTGGATCATTTTTTCTTGCATTCTATTGAAGACACCTTACATGTACTTCACTTTCAAATTCTTTCACAAACCATGACAAGATGTTAATAATTATTTTTTATAAAGATGATAGTAGAATTATGGGTACATATAAGATTAGATTCAACTGCTTTCAAAACCCAGAAAAAATGTAAAAAATATATTAAAGCCATGTATGATCAGATCACACATCAGTCTACATGCTGTATTTGTAATATGATACTTACAGGTGCCCCAAAGAAGAAGAAGTTCAAAGCATGGAAGTCGATAAAGAAGATTTTCAAGAAGAAGAAGAGTTCGAAAGGATCAGAAGGGGACTCAACACCAAACAAGAACAAGTCTAAATCAACAAGCGAACTAGAAACAGGAGGGTAAGTTAGTTTGGTTGGTGGTGGTTATTTTACCTGACTGCTAAGAAAGCATAAATGTTTGTTAGTAAGCAACCAGAAGGTCGATGGATTTAGGTCCTCTCCAAGGGACCTGGTAATGAGAATTAATGCCTTACCAAAAGGCAATAGCGCATCGCCTTGGTTTAGAACCCGGGTCGCCGGATTACGAGACCACTGCTCTACCAACTGAGCCATTGCCCCTCCTCTGAGCTATCACGCCTCCTCTACTAAGTACTATAGGGGGACAAGATGGGGGCTGAAGGCAAGAAGCCCCTGAATTTCTAAGAAAAGAAAATGTAATCAGTATATCTAGAGGGTGATAGGAGGATGATTCCCATTTCTCATACCTAACTCCTGTCTCCATGAAAGAGGAAATTGGAAAAGGGAGGAGCCCCCCTAAAACTAAATTATTTTTTTAAAAAATTAATGGCATGCAAGTATTACACCTCCCCTGCATTCCTTTTATGTTCAAATTCTGGCTAAACCATTCAGCTTTTACAGTTTAATAAATGAAGAAAAAAAGGAGCCCCAGTTAAAAAAATTCTGTCAAATAGTTGAAGTAAACTTTCTCCCCTCCCTCCCCCTAAACTAAACATGAATGTTGCGGACATGAGGTCATGACATTTAGAGTAAAGAGACAATCAATCAAATCATAGTACTTCCTTCAATTTTTACCCCCTCTGAGTTTGACGTCCTGATAAAGTGCATGATATCAGAGATCATATGACTATCAGATCATGTGACGTACATCAGATGTGTAATGATATTAGATTGCAGACACCTGATAATTCAGGTGGTTGGCGGACTAAGGTGCTAACACTCACTTTTCTGAAAAATGAATTACATTCATCAACTGATATTTGAATATTTCTGTAGCATCTGTAAAATACAAAACTTTAACAATTTAAACCTTAGTTGCTCAAATAACAAAGCGATTCTGCAGCAGTGAAGTTACACAAAACCCTTTTTCTCACATTAAGATGTGCATTACAGAAACAGATGATAAATTTGACTTTTGAATGCATTTATTTCAGAATGACACTTTTATTAGTTAGCACCTTGTTGCAACAACGCCACTGATTACTATCAAAGCTCCATCTGAATTTCTGTGTTCCTATTAGCGATTGAACCCACTTTAGAAATTGAAAATTTGTTCCTTATTTTAAAGATGATTTCGGACAAAAATAATATAGGACTGATGTACTTGATCATGGTCTAGTTGATTTTTGGCACATATGATTTTGAGAAATCAACACATGATCTAAATTTGTACTTTCTTTAAATATCTTCAATTGCTATCAAACTTTCATCTGAAATTTTGAATCTGTGTAGCCATTGATTGCTATGGCAATAGAACATTTTGTCATGTTATCTTTAGAATGATACCTGACAAAATCTAAAAAGGAAACAGACTTACAGTGTACGTAGATGTATGTATGTTCTGTTTGGCAAGCACACTCCAGTTTTAGAAGCATGATTTTGTAGATCTAAATTTTATCTCAATCTTACTTTCCTCTTCAATTTTTACGCGATTGAGATTTGATCTGAAATTCTGTTTTTCATCGTGATTGAACCCTATGCAATCAAACATTTAAAGTTGATACTCTAAGCAAATAAATGTCCCTTAATTTGTTACCTACGGCAAGTATATGTTATTTTTAAGTTTTTCAATTACTTAGTATATCACAAAAAATTCTGTCTACTCGAAATCCTCAATTGAAATGTCTAAAATATCCGCCTCTCTTTGCATAGAAAATCAGTCACGACGCTGGTCTACTATTTATGACCTCACGTCCGGGAGAGAGTATATTCACGTACCCGGATGTTCCATAGCAAACATGTGCAGAGTGATACGATTTTCTGCATATTTTTGTTTCAAAGGCTGAAAAGTCTAATAAATCATAATTCTATGTACAATTCTTTACCTTCCCCTAGTACTTCATAGTATTAATATCAATTCCCCTTTTAAAAATTATGACATATACATGCCAACGATGTGCTATTAGTCGATATTTTCACCATGTAATTTTTGTTTTGGTGTTGAAATCGGCCCAGGCACGGAGTGAACAGTAGCTGTCTACCCATGCACAGTTCATTACCATACACTACAGCGATCTCCCGATGGTTTTTTTTCCCCATGTCTTTCGCCTTCCTTGGCCCTGAACATCCTTCATCTACCAATTCTGACACCGGTAGTCAGGAGGAAGTCTTTGTTAGTTGTTTTTCTTAGCTGGCAACGTCGCTTTCATTCTCTTGCAATTGCCGATAAACATATAACTAGCGCACGTACGTTCCATCACAAGCAAGCAGCGCCTAGAGCAGCGGCTTGGTCTTACCTCCCGATTCTGCTCGCTCCACAAACGTTCATGCAAGAGCCGCATCACTCGCCAAAATATTATAGAGGAAGCGCGCTTGCATGATCTCGTTCAAGTTTGATATTTTACAACATAAAATGTTTAACTGGTACTGTATCCTTTTTTGAGGCAGTCACACACATCTATGATAAGTACTATCATAGTTCTAGACCTATTCGTTTTACAAAACTGCTCATGTACACTGTACATCAGTTCTGATGACAATATAATGCATCCGCCTATTCATAAGTGCACGATTTAACTTTAATTCCTAAGCAGTAAACTCGTCTTAAATCTCTACCAAATAGGTGAATATGAGGATATAAAAAGAAATCAGCGACTGGAAAATGTTGCTTCGTTATTTTTCATTCAAATGAAAACAGAAAATCCATCAAATATACTCCTTAACAACAACAAATCTAAGCTCTGACAGGATAGCATTTACGTAGGGATATCACTGCCATTCACTCTCACTGAGCCCATGACTCCCGTTCGTGACGTCACGGATAGAGGCCCGACTCTACGTGCACTTCCGGGTTTCAGACTTAGATATTTTGGTAGAGTTTACTCGAATAAATTCATTATTCTAAACTTGTTTTGTCGGGTGGACACCATTTGGTGTTATTATGAGGGTTAAAAGCTTTCTATTTATGTAATTATCTCAGTATTTGGGATTGTCTTAGAGTATCAACTTTAACAATTTCCTACAAAAAATCTTGGGGAAATAGAAATGAATAGCTATAATTTTAGAGACATACTTATTTTAAAAATCATGATCTCGGGTCATAATGTTTTCTTACTTCTGCAAATTGTGATGAACATCCATTTTTTTTTCTGTGCAGCCATAAACCTATGGTGTAAATGAAATATTCATTTTCATTACAAATTATGCATAAAGCAGAAATAATACAAAAATAGATGTGCTTTTATATAGTACTCAATGTGAAGGCAGAAAGCTTTGGCATTAGAATGATGATATCAAAGATCATAGTATGATCCACAGTGCATTTCCTGCTTATATTTATCAGTGTAGATCTGGAGACAGGGAAATGATAAAATCATCACATCATTGGGTAAAGTAGGTGACATGTGATAGATCCTGTATGAATTACACACAACATCTCAAGATCAAAATAACTTAATTTAAGATGTAAAACAAAAAATAGGTTTGATCAATTCTTATAGAGCAAAAATGATGAGATACTAAAGCTTTTCTTGCATTATTGGTGTATTCGCTTGCAATATCCTTCTTTCAAAATCATAATAATATGAAGTCCTTGTACCTTACAAGATAATGGCCTATTTGCTATGTCTCCCAGGCTGGGCTTGGTTAAATTTATACAGAAAACGATCCAACGACACTCCTTTCGGTTTAATTTCCCCAACAATCTATATGATGAAGGCGTGTACGAGGATGTGGTTGATAATAAAAATTTGATGATGCTCAGAATTTGGCATTCAAGCTGAGCTAATAGACATGGCTCAGGAGCGTTAGAACAAAAAAGAAGAACATTAATTCACTTAGTTGGTTTTCCCTGCCAGATTTACAGTGACATTCATTAATTACCGTATGACATCATCAGGTAAGATGGAGAACATTTTGAGGGAATAATGCTGGCTTGATAAGCTGTCATTCATCCATAGATCAAATCTGTCCATCCTATTTCAACCCTTCCTGTTTCATGTCAGTGGCAAATGCCACCCCAAGCTTTTGAGTTGGCGTTTCATAACTTTTGACTGAAAATAAGGGATTTTCTTCCCTTGAAAGCATGAACATAGTTTTTATGAACATTTTGAACTATAAAGAGTGTCTACTCTCTTTTTTAACGCTAAATATATAATTTTTTTTTTTTACTAGGATTCTTGGAAAATACATACATAAATCTAATATCTATTACATTCAGTAGTAAAATGTTTGGACAGGGAGAAGCAGGGTCATATACATCCACTTGCTTTAAAGGTAAAGACCAGTATTGGAAATGCCCCAGTTTCAAAAAATGAAATGGAAGCTCTCATTAGCAATCATGTGAAAGAATATGTTTTGAATAATACATGATGATAAAAAATTTGCCGGGAAACCGCCTACTAATTCATATATTTGGTAAATTTGTTTCTCTCATGGTCTGTGAGAGATATAGGGTAGTCCCATATACATCTTTCTGTGTATAGTGCTTGTAACTTTACGAAGAATGGGCCAAATTTCTTATCATTTTGATGATTCCAGAACCTTGCAGATGCTAGATGCTAGATGATCAACCTTTTCTGATCGATTCCACAACGTTTCTTTCACAATGCAATCGCATGACCATAACTGGTCTTTACCTTTAAGTCAAATCTTTGGGAAATAAAAGTTTCATTTTTTTTTTTGGTCTTAAAGTTCAATATACAATTTCTTCTTTCAATGATGTATTTGTTTATTTTTTTCATTTTTCTAGGGATGAGGAAGGTGAACTGAACAAACGCATCAGCATGTCAGAAGATAGTGTGTTTACACCAGACAAACCTGCATCAGCCAAAGACAGGAGCTCCTATTCACTCAACACATCAAACCTGGCAGTAAGAACAGCTCCTCTATCTACAAAAATATGTTTAAATAAATGAAAAACAGTCTATACAAGCATGTTTGAAATGGTCACCTATATTTTGTCTTTCTCTCTAGGAGCGAATGTTGTTGAACCTGTCTAGAGAGCTACTTTTTCTGTTATCATTAGGTAGACTTACTATGGATTTTGGATAGATTAATAGATCTGACTGTTATTGCTATGCTCCATACTTTTTGGGAAGGTGGCTTGGATCAAACTGTTTTACAGTCTGCAGCCATAAGCCCTATGTAAAAATGCAAAAATTGTAATCTTTGAAGACTACCATGGTTAGGATAGATTTGAGCGAGGTTTGCGGTTACATCACGTATTCCCTGGGTCCTGACAAAGTTTTTGGATAACAATGTGTCCCGGGTGACGTTGAGTGTTGAGCCCTGGGCATTATATCTTAATAGTATAGATGTTTACTGTACCCGCATGGCATATGATATGGGTTGGGTCTGGATAAATTTGTTCAGATATCATTTACAGCTACACTCCCTCATAATCTTTGGTTGTTTCTCACAAGTTCCTTTGTAGAGAGCGATTGGATTTGTTTGTATGGTTGTAGCAGTGTCCATGTACAACAAGGGTAAACATGATATCATAATAATTCAACTCCTGTTTTAGAGATTGGACATTTACTAAATGATGCATAGATTTGTCTTCATGCAACTTGGCTTAGAACTATCCATAAATTCAAAGTGGTTCTTCCACAGTGATGCAATACTCATGGCACCTTTCCAAATTGTGGGAGGACTTGAATGAATTTGAATATGACAACATCATTAATCATCAAGATAATGTGGTAAGATCTTGCGGGGTATCATCTAAGCTGCGTCACATTTGACTTAATATCTAGGATTAGGTCTTGGGTTGGGATGATTAGCACTATTCTCACGCCAACATCCCGATTGTTATAATATGGGAATTGATTTTTCATTTTTTTTTGCAAGTCATTTCCTATCCGTTACTGAGAATTCATTTTTGTGGATGCATTAAACATATTTATTGTAATTAAGCCTCTTTTGTCTCCTATAAAGCCCATTTTAGATTTTTCACAGCAATCCACCTCAACGAAATGTCACAGGGAAGCTTTTCTTTTGCACAAACATGTAAATGAATGACAAAAGGGCAATTTTTGAGGTAAAAAGACAGATATGTACAGTATGTACAGTGTAGCTGAACGCAAAAATCCGGCTCATGCACACTCACTGATCTGAGTCTGATATGATGTACAAAAATGTTTAAACAGTGACTGTTTTTGTTTTGTTTTTATCTCAGATAGATTATTCTCATAGATATTGTATTAAAGCTCATAAGAACAAACAAACGCACTGATTGAAGACACATGGCGTTGAATATTTCATGTTTGATACTCTGACATGAAAGAAGCCTGATAAGAGCTTTATGTTTCACTTTCACTTACTATTTCCGCCTGCTCTCCGCAACCACAACAATGCTCATTCAAAATGAAGGAAGTCCCCTATTTTGCTCCCCCTCTCTTCTCAGCACGAACATTTCACATTTCTTTAACATAGCAAGTACGGGATCCCTAGCTCTCTCATTCTCCACAAAAAATGGGTCAAAGCCTGAACCGATTACGTGTCTTGTTCCGTAATTCGTTGCATTGAATTAGAGAATCTCTCGTCAGCGCTCGGCGGGTCAGCTGTCGCGGGGAGCCATTGCCAAACTCTCGGCTCTGACTCAGCGCTGGGGATTATCAAGGAAGGGTCACCGTTAAAGCCAAATGTGCGGTGTGAGGAATTAAGACGTGGAAGTTGCCTGGGAGGTGGAGGATTGTTTTCATTTCCTTTTACTGGGTAAAAAGATGATGAGGTCATAGGTATCCAACCAACTTAGCTCTCCTCATCCAAAAATGTGTTGTTTAGATTTCATTAAAGACCAAATATAAAGATATCTAAAGAAGATTTTGTACTTTAATACAAAACTATCATTTTATTTCATCCTATTGGCAACTAGGTCTCTTTAGCACTTGGATGAAATTCCATTTCTCTAATTTTTACCATAGAAGCAAATTTGTTTGGCCTACGCGGCTTGGCTATGGTTATTCTCTATGAAGCGTAAACCATACCACAGTGACGTCAGTATTGAAATGCCAATATTTCCTCCTGTAAATGAAGAATGAATATGTTTATCTTGATTGGTGAGATATTAGATACGTGACATCGTGTGAGGTCTTAAAATGATTTTACATTCAGCGTGTCGTCAGGAAATTTGGATATGGGTTCATTTGAGACGAGATTGGGCTATCTCAATTGATTCTGGAGCCACTTCAATGAAATAATCAAATTTTAAGGTCATCAATTTTTCAATGGGATGTTCAGTGTCATGAGGGTTCTACGACACTTGCCTCTGGGACAATTGCTCCATGTTTCTTACACTAACCAAATTACTAACTTCCAACCCTGGACCCAAGATTATCTAACCCTCATCCTTACCCTAATCCTCAACCTCAAACCCAGACTGCAAGCCTATCCAGTGATGAAATAAAGCCTGGATCAATTGTCACTGGATTAAAATGTCTGGTCAACGTCACGAGACGGACCTCTTTGTTTTTGTTTCTTCGGTTGATTCTCATTGACCTAGAGCTTAGGTTTTATTGCTTAAAATACACACTTAGTTAGGGGCTTATGGCAGCTTAGCCCCCTCCCTACCTACCTCCCCACCCTCATGCTTACATACACTGTCCATCCGCTAGCCATCAAATTCAAGTTTTCTCAATACTCTAATAACTTTTTTCTCCTTTGTTGTTGTTGTCATTATTTATTTATTTTGATATTTAAATCTAAATTTCCAAAGAAAATTATTTGTATATTTTTTTCTTCTTCTTTTTTCTGAATTAGGAAATCAGGAAATTTTGCACTTACACATTTCTGATAATTTCCCATGTATTTAAAGCCTATGCCGAAATGGTTGCCAGTAGTTTTGGGCAGAGTTTTGATAAATTTATAGAATCTTTAAAGTCTATATGTATCTTCTGCCAATTCTGAAAATGGTTGCCAATCAGCTGAATGAGGCAGTGTGAGCATCAATGGAAGATCGCACCCTGTGAGGTCTTGAACAGATACAGTGTGTCATCATAATCACAAACTAAAGGGCATGAAAATATGACCTTCTTCCTTCATGGTATAGAAATAGCCTTTGTGGTCAGGATGAACTTTGCTAATTTCCCCCCATCTAGTAGGACTAACAGCTTACTAAAGACAATACCAGTGGGGGCCCCGTACCCTCCCTATACTGATGCAAAAGTTAAATAAGAGTTTATGCCCCCAGGTTATTATCTATTTTAAGATGGAGATTGGGCTGTATGAAGAAGCCTCCCCCGTATTTTCATATTGTTTTGTTAAAGCGAAGAAGCGAAGTGAATGATGTGTAAATCTGTAACGGGCTTTACTGGCATTTTGTGATGTTTAAAAGAAGAATGCACCTTTATAGAAGGAATTAAACTAGACTCATCGGACTTGGCAAGATGTTTCTTATGAGAGGGGTTTAGAAGAGCCATTAGCTATACTTGAAGGCACAAATCGGTTATGAAGCGTCATTGAAATATTCTAAAAATATTCTTCAAAGCTTATGAATATTTGTGTGTGCTATTGTTCAAATCAGAACCTTATTTAGTTTAAGCTAAAAGGACATAGAAAATGTATTTCTATTTTTTCACATCATTTTAATTCAATACTTTATTTCAAACAGTTAAACAAATTTAAAAAATCATATTTATTACATATATGACCATTGTTCAATCCAAGGAGAAAAGATTAACCAATGTACACAATTTGTCTGCTGAGAGCCAGAAGGGCATTACCTTTACTTAATGTAAAATACATACATGTACATGATCAGTTAACACCCTTCTAGATCTAACCTAGTACATATACATCTACACTATTAAACTGGGGAGTGTAAATTAGCAAGGTGTGAACCGAAGCAAATATACTCAAATGAGTTTTCTGATCGACTCTCAACCCATGGCTCGCTATTAAAGGGCATTAGCCGACAAGAGTACCTATTTTCACGGGGCCACCGTCGTTCATGCGTTATGGCAGACGTTAATTCTCGAGATTAGCCGGTCTCGGCTCGGAATGATCTTGACCGAAGAATGCAAGTCATTTCATGACATCACAATATGATTAAACAGGGAAGGGGAATTGCTACTGTCATCGGTAATAGAGAGGGGAAAATGAAATGATGGGGTTACCTCTCCGACCAATTGAAATCCACACGCAATGTACATGCAACCTACAACAGGTGAATTGACAGACAAAGGCAGCTGATTTTGAAAGTTGATTTTGTTGGTGACTTCATTGTTGTCTGACCTTACGTTAAACTGAGCAAGTGTGGAATAATCCGTGAATTGAATGCCAAATTTCAAAATCCTTATTTCAATTTTTACACAGCCTTGTATGTAAAAAGAGCACATGTATATGAAATAGAGCTACAAAGATCTTTGAAATAGTTTTCACACTGTTAAGAGTGAGAAGGAAAAAAATCCAGCTTTTTCAATATCTAGATATCTTTAATATTTGTTAATTCTATCATAGCAACATTCTATAACTCATATCATTTTGCAATGAATTTTTAGATTTTTTTATTTTTTATCTCTCTATGTTACATATTTATGCATATCATTTTACATTTTGCTATCTTCCTTCTTTTCTTTTTTTTAATTATATATCTACGTTTCTATCTATTGATCAAAATCATCTGGTAACAATTATATATTAATTTATCCATCCATCCATCTATCTGTCTACAATTTTTCTATCTATCTATCTATCGCAGGATGAGATTAGTGCCAAACTCAAGGAGAGAGCCAGCTCCTCGGACGACGGCTACGCCCAGTCTAGTGAGGACGCCATGACAACGGGTGACACCACCCACGACAACTCATATGTGGCGCCCTCAGACAGCAGTAAGACAGACAGTGGCATCATCACTACAGAGGACGAGGTGAGTCATGTGATCCCTTGCTGTCACCTGATCACTAAGGAATGGTCATGTGACATATATATATATATATATATATATATATATAAGGGCATCTCATTACTGATCTTTTTTTTAAACATTAGATCTGTATGCATTATCACCTATCAGAAGAAAAGTACATTCTATGAAATTATGAGGCACATTTAGCCTTCATTTAGGCCATAAAAGGGGAAAAATAAGTCTCTAACAAACATTTATACATATATTTCATTTTGCAATTCACATCCGAGTATCTTTATATATAATATATGACTAATTCATGAGGTGATTATCCAATGAATACATTTCCATTATGGGGAAAGGACTTTTGATTTGGCTGTGATCTAATCTACTTCGGTATTTCAAGGTCTTCATTCTATATTCGTTATGAGTAAACCTTTTAAGGATGTACACGAAAGAGATTCTCCTCAGAGGAAATGAGATTTATGGTTATAATCTTTAATTCTATAAACAAAATTAGAATGACGTTGAATACTAAAATATCAAAACCTCTTTGAAACTGAACATGGAAAAGATAACCACCTTGTGTCATACCACTCTTCAAAAGAATCATTAAACATTTCAAAATTCAACTAATCTGATGAATATATTTTAACACTTGAAATTAAATCCAGCTACAGATCCAGCTACAGCTACAGTTAGATGATATGGTTAGAAACCAAAGAGGTTTCTGAATAGATCACCACTTGGCACAATGCCTTCAAAATTTGCCATTCTCCCCCAAGATAATTGTAGTCATTGACCTAAAAAAAAAAAAGAACTCATTATGAAATAATCAGCCTTGGAACACAGACTTGGCAAAAAGGGGCCTCTACTAAAATAACACAAAATGTGACGATTGAGCCAAAAATCTGCAATAATCCAAGCGATTCTGCAGTTGTCTTTAGTTGGCAATGGGAATGAGAAATCATGGGTTTATCAAATTTTTAAAAATTTAATTCTTTGAAGGCTAGTGACAGGATTGTCATGCATATGTCGAGATTAAAGATTAAACCATGTGGTGGTCTTGTGGTGCGTGTTCGGAAGCCATTAATCCCTGTATGTAAATTCTTTTTAAAGGGTTTTATAATTTTAAAAAGCTAAAGCTGTTTCAGAAAATAAAGACAGTCCTTCCACACCCTGAAGCTGATTAATTTCTTGTTATGGGGCTTGGATGGGCTTTGTTTTTCATTGTACTTCATTGTACATAGAATTCTAGATAAACAATCTCAACACTTTCTTTTTGAAGGAAGATGATTAAGAACAGTGACCATTCAAGGGTGCAATGTTTACTAGGCTTTTGCCTGTTGTCAGCCATTGTCACCTCTCCTTTCCAGACTTGTTTAAGTCTTTTTTTCTTTTCCCACCAGAATATACAGTGTTCAAATATATCTGGGGAGATTTTTCCTAGCTCCATGGTTAAAATTGGTTGGTACATGTACCCATGATCGTGTGAAGGACCAGATGAAAGCCTCAACGTTTAGAAAAAGACGTCACAGAACGTTTATTGTTGATGAAGATTTTCTATAAAGCTGAATAATGGACCCTACCCAACTTCCTTTAACCAACAGCATGGCCTGTGGGAGCATTTGAGTGCATCTTGAGCATGCTTTGCTTGTTAGATTATAAGCATAATGTTGACAGCTAGAGCATCTTGGGAAGGCATGAATGTCTGCTTGAAGTACATGTATGCTTTCAACAAAACACACATGTGGGACTGACTGTTCAGATCTTAGTCATTCTAGAATCCCATATGATCATTCTATGTTGAGGGTCAATACCCTGAGTTCGAAATGGATTTGAGTAAGCACAACATCTGGAATTATCGGGAGAACTGATCCTCATTGCCAAATATCCCTGTCATATCAACCCATGAATCATAATTGTTGACATACTTTATTCCAGGACAATAGCTCCCCATCTACCCGTGTACTCACCCAGGACTACTCCTGCATAGGGGAGGGGGCAGGGGTGGACTCAGTGACTCTTTCTGGTTGGAACAATTAGATGAGTGCATGTATCTACTTTGTTAGGTATTTTTATCACTTTGCTATGACAACTGAGCATCCCAAATGTTATTTTACCAATCCATACACCTACACATGACTTTCCTAAATTAGAGAATATTAATAAGGTCTTAATCTTTTATTAGGGGTGGGTATTGATTTAAATTTATGAAGATATATATCCTTCAAATAATGATTGCTTTGCAGATAAAGATATGATCATTAGACATTGTGTGTCTAGTCTTATCATTATACGATTTTCTTTACTTTCTAATTTATTGAACTAGTTGCAAAATGAATACATTTTTTATCTCCATATTGTGGACCCTGCAAATTACTAAAGTGGTCATACATATATGAGACGTTTGAACATAGGACTCTTTGCAGTGCATCACATGAATATGCAGCGTTGCAAATAGTGAACCGACTGTGCAACCCTTTCCTGCAGAAAAAATTGAACTTGAAATCTTGGACACTGTGCGTAAGTACAGGAAGGGTAGTACTGTTGCACCCCTGTAAATCCCCTGCGGTAACACACACCTAGACTTTGGTCACCTCGCCTACCGCAACTGGGGTTGCATTACACCAGGGACAGGTGTCGTCTTACCTCACTCCTGTCTATCGAGGCAAGCACATTGGTAGCCCCCTTTAATCGTAGGAAGCTAACACACTCCCAAGTAACCCATACCCACTACTTGTATTTTTATATTTAATAGAGAGAGGGCAAAACAACAACATTGATGCAGAATTTCTTGACCATGTTCATATTTCACCAGGGTATGCTCTTATTGATCTTTAAAGAGAAGGTTGAGTTCTGGGAAGAGGTGAAAAATAATTTGTGAGCGTTATCATTCTTATTATGCAAGTGTGGAAGAACATCAGATAAGACATGTTCCCATATTCTAAATATGTCATGTAACATCATAAAATTCGGGGGTAGGATTTTTACGCCACGTGTTCGTATATTCCCATATACATCTTTCTGTGTACAGTGTTTGTAACTTTACCAAGACTTGGCCAAATTTCTTATAATTTTGATGATTCCAGAACCTTGCAATACACACAAATTCTTATATGCTAGATGATCAACCTTTTCTGTTTGATTCCACACCGTTTCTTTCACAATGCAATCGCATGACCAGAACTCACCTTTATCTTTAAACTGTGCAATGCAGGATCTAGCCATTATTACTAGTCCCAGTGTGTCCCTACACACATTGATTAGATAATTAACTAGAATTAACATAACTATGCTGACTGTGCCAGTAACTTGAGTTAAAATCAACCAGTATTATGCAGCTTTCTGAAATTTTATGTGATCAGAGAGAATTAGCAATGAAATGAGAATCAAATTCATTTTTCATATGTTGAAACAATCATAGAAACAGTGATTGAACTTGGACATTGGTCTCTTGCCTACATACATGGCATTTTGAAAAAGTCTAGGTCAACATTTCGAAAATTGGAAAGGAAATCCACTTTTGTGTTGAAAATTGACTTTATTTACCAATCATTTCATTGCTGACGTAAGAAGTGATATACACAAAGAAAAAGTGCAAGTCTTTGGAACTTTACCAAATTTTAGGTACACTGTATAAGCTCTTTATGTAATTGTGTTCTTAAAAGTAATCCTCCCCTGGCAGTGAGTCAGAAACATTCGGGGGAGAACAGCTGAGACAATTGTGTAGATAAATCTCAATTAATTATGTAGTTATATGAGATTGAAATGATTATGTCTGTAAATTCTGAGGGGATCATACTTTGTTCAATTAGAAAGAGTATCAGACTATCAGTAGACCCATCATACCATATGTGAGTTTTAGTGCTGATGTTATATTGTGTGTATGCTAACTGTTATTGAATTTCATGTACATGTATTTCACACATATATGTAGGAGGAGGAAAAAAAGAGGGGGAATACGGAAAATGGGGGAGTGGGTTAAACAGCTAGAGCAAAGATGACTTGTATCATTACATAAGACATTTTTAATCATCCTAAATTTAAATGATTGCATCCTACCTTTTTCTTTCCTTCCCATTTCAAATTGAGATAAAATTAAAATTAAGTATTAAAGCAATATGCCATTACCTTTGAGGGATTTGCTCCGATGACTTTGCAATACCTAATCCATAAATAATCAGCATCGGTTAGAAAACGGAGAGCTTGTAATTGGAGGGGATTAATTAGGGTATGTCTGAAGTAATTAATTATCGCTCAACTTCCAAAGTTCTCCCACATGGGCAAAGTTTATTGAAACGTTTGACACATGCCACACGTGGTTGTATGCACAAAAAAAATCTCTAGAATTAGTCCATAAGGGCACAGCTTTCGAGCTCAGTTTTCTAGAGGCTGTCTTCAGTTGAAATAGGTCTTCTCTTCCCCCTCTTTCTCCTCTTTCTCCTCCACCTTCTCCTTCACTCCTCATCCTTCATCTCTTTTCTTTCTATTTCTTGTATTCACAATTTGTTTGCATGAACATGTACTATGCTGATGACAATTCTAAATGGCGATAAAGTAATGCCCTTGCCTCTGTCACTTCACCAAACCTTGGACTCTAAACCATGTTCGTTCACCTCTTGCAAACTCTTGTCATCACCATAAGTAAGGGAGACCCAACCCCTCTCCATTATGCCTTTTGAGGCTGCTTGCGTCATTCCCAGACTATCCCTGTAAGATGTGCACATTGAATTCTTTCCGGAATGCATTTCCCCTGTCCCCTTCCTCTCCCGATCATCAACAACCAAAGCTCTCATTTTTTTCAAAGATGAATTTATCTCAGATTGTCTGGCATTCATTATCAAAAAATATTCTGTACATGTATATCTAAGATGTGAGGCCTCATTTGGTAGCTGACATGTGTTTTGTCAGTCATTTAGCCTAAAGGATATCAGATGGTACATGTAATTATATATTTGTTATTACATGTTATGTAGAGTAAAAGTAGAGTAAATTTCCTTTTTGTTATTTAATAGTCA